TGTAACAATAAACTGCATGGTGTTTACCTTCTCTACATTGGAAGGAGTCAGCAACCCTACCAGAATTTAAACCTTTGGGTTCCAGGGAACGCAGGTATTCCAAAACTAATGCTTACAGCATTAAGTTAAAAGCAACAGAGGGTCCTGTGGCACCTTTAAGACTAACAGAAGTACTGGGAGCATAAGCTTTCGTGGGTAAGAACCTCACTTCTTCAGATGCAAGAGCATTAAGTTATTCCTCCTGCAAACATATTTGAACCTTTTGTTTTCTAGGACAATCAATCAGAAAGAACGACTTGTGTTCAAAAGCAACCAGGGATGCATTGCCTGACATTGGTTACTTCCAGCAAGTTAGATAATAGAAAGCCTCCTAAAAGGATGGTTCTTACCTCTTTCTGTATCGTAGAGGTATACAAACTTTTCCCATTTGTAATGAGTCAGAAGGCTCAGGATGGCTCCTTTTAACGCTGGCCGCATCTGAATGACAAACTGCACATCTGCATCTGTTGGGAAGCTGGGTGTGACAAAGGACGTGTGCAGAGCTCCACAAAATGATGTCAGTGTGTTCATGGACATCTGGTCATAGAATCCAAAGATGGCATAAACTCCTCTAGAAAACTGTGAACAAACTAACAAACAAAAGACAGAACTGTTACAATCTGAAACCACCATGAAGCAGTGTTATATAATTAATGGGAGGGGTCAGCGGAGAAAAGGAAAATTGCAGTTCTGGTTGCGAAGTGTTCAGTGTCAGCCCAAGGAAAGTAACAAGTTCCAGAGTAGAAAACCCCCTGCTCTGAGCCCACCTGCCTTCAGCCCCCAATGTTTAATGCAGAGATTGTCAACTCAAACATCCCAGCTAATCTCAGCCTCCGGGGACTATCCTGGAGAGAGGAGGAGGTCTCAAGATAGACAAGCCCTTTATCTCTGAGCTACACTGCATACTTGGCAGCTGTATTTCTATTTCCCAACATTATATCATACATATGAAATAAATCCTCTAAAGGGCATAGGTTTTTTAAAATTATTTTTATGTTGGCAAAACTAACTAATGACAAAACAGTTACAAGACTTTCAACCATGGGAGCAGAGCTGGGCAATAAATCGGGTACATCTTACACCCCTTGTATTTCCTTGGCTCATAGTTATGAAGCTCATTTTAAGTAAAAACAAAATTTCAGCACCAGTCCCACGCCCACTTGTGAGCTGTTGAGCTCCTTCATTTCCTACCAGAGTTGATGGGTCGGGGTGAGCTCTTTATGTTCCTAATCTATGTTACCAACACAGTTAGTAGCATCCAGACTGGCAAGGAACGAATGTGGCTGCTCCGAGAAAGCAACAAAATAAAGGAGTATTTTCATTAGATATCAGTATTCATTCAGACTAATACTATAATCTGGCTATAGAGTTTCATTTCAGCAGAAGTAGCTAATGACCATGGGACAGAGATTCTTTACTCATATATCTTTTAACCAGTATCTTCAGGGGTAAGCCAGATAGCCCAACACCAGCCACCATCCCACAACTAAGGGAAGCCAATTGGCACGTGCTATTTATCCGTTTGGAAATCCAGTAATCCCCCCTTGCCACGGGCATAAAACTCCAGTTTCACACCCCACAGGGTCATGAGACATCAGACCTTCAACAAGTACGGTGCAGAAAGCCTGGGTCTCAGGGAAGTATAATTCTTTTCAGGTGGTCATGGTAAGTCACATTTAAGGAACAAAGGGGACATTTCCTTTGGCAAGGTGTTTAGCAATAAAAAGTGGCTGTTTGAAAGGGAAGATGGATTAGCGGGGGCAGGGGAGGTTGTCAAAGTGCATTCCTTTTTACAAAGACTTGTTTATAAAGCTGTTTGGTTGCTTAAAAGTGTAAAACAAAACCCATTACCACTATTTAACATTAGAAGAATGCTTTAGTGAATTTGGTGCTCATGAAAGGTGCCAACTGACATCTCAGGAGACTGTGTCCAGCCTTTATCATCTGAATAGCCATAGCTTAGGCAGCAACATTGCTGTCCCCTGCACGCTGCCCCATGCCACACGCTGAACTAAGCTCTCATATGAGAGCTGCACCATTCTCCATGTCCAATGGAAGCTGGTGATCTCTGAAACCAGGCAGATGAGAAAAAAATATTTCAGCCACCCCTAATCTCCACACATTTTACCTAGCAAGATGCAAGGGAAATGAATTACATATAAAAGAAGCCAGGTGTTCTACATGAAGATATATTGCTTTCCAAAGTACTACACCGAAACATTCATTTCTACCACAAATGCTAACGTTCAGAATCATTAAAGCCTGTTTATCGTAAAAAGGACTCTCCAATACCAGGTCATTGACATCACAGATAACACCTTGAATAGCTACTCAGCTGTGAGCACTTGATTTTCTTCCAGGAGACCCAGATGCAAAAATATAAGTGCCATTAAAGAATCCTTTTAAGAGATTAACCATTGTAAATGGATGTGAGCAAAAGTGGATACCAACAGCAAATAATAGAAGCTACTTTTAGAGAGAAAAGAGGAAGGAATAAATAAAGCACCGACTTTAAAGAAAAAGTTTACAAAAAGTCTCCACAGCAGTAAAAAGGAAAAGATACAAAGGCAACCACAGTACAACCAGCATTTATGCCTATGGGTATGATGACACAGGAATTAACAGATTGCCTAAAATTAGGGTTACCATACGTCTGGTTTTTCCCGGACATGTCCAGCTTTTTGGCAATCAAACCCCCGTCCGGGGGGAATTGCCAAAAAGCTGAACATGTCCGGAAAAATACCGGCCGGGCACTTCCTCTCCCGCGGCTGCTCTGCTCCTCCCCTGACTCAGACTTCGGCTCTGTTTAAGAGCCAAGCTGCCCAAGCCAGCGCTACCGGCTTCGGGCAGCCCCCGTGCCTCCGGACCCCGAGCCGCCGGCCGGGCACTTCCCCTCCCGGGCTCCCGCTGCTCTGCTCCGGCGGCGCAGGGTC